GGGGTGGGAGGTCCGGCACACGGGGGTGGGAGGTCCGGGCACACGGGGGTGGGAGGTCCGGGCACACGGGGGTGGGAGGTCCGGGCACACGGGGGTGGGAGGTCCGGCCCACGGGTACCTTGGCGGCTCTCTGCGCGGGCCAGCTCCTGTGTGATGACCAGGTCCATGGCGCCTGGGCCGAGCTCCTTCAGCCAAGGCCCGACCAACGGCGGTTGCCTAGCGACCAGCGGGACGCGGATCTGGCCCGCGGGGAGGGGGAGAGGCGTGAGACCGGCGGAACCGGCTGCGCAGGCTCAGCTCCGCGCGGGGCGGGGCGCGGGCTGCTGCTGGCCTGCCAACCTCCAACCACCGCTCTGTCCGTCCTGCTAGGAGAGGAGCGAGGAGCAAGGAGGAACGAGGAGCCAGGAGCGGCGCCAGGCAGAACGACCCAGGTGAGCGCTGCTCCTGGCGCCCAGCACCCAGCCCAGTGCGGGAAAGGGGCCACACCTGCGCGGGAGGCTGCGGCGGGAGGTGGGGCGGGAGGCTGGGCGGGGCCTGGGTGTAAAGGGGTGTGGCCTGGGTGTAAAGGGGTGTGGCCTGGGTGTAAAGGGGTGTGGCCCTGTGGGAGGCTGGGGCGGAGCCTGGGTGTAAAGGGGTGTGGCCTGGGTGTAAAGGGGCGTGGCCCTGTGGGAGGCTGGGGGCGGAGCCTGGGGGTAAAGGGGCGTGGCCCTGTGGGAGGCTGCGGGCACCTGTAGATTGTTGAGCGCTGCAACCTGGGTAATTGTTGAGGGCTGGCGAGGAGACTCCCATTCTGTGTGTGGAATCGGATGGTGATCTGCTTTACTGGGGAGAAGCTCTTTAGCTTGATGCTTCCCTTTGGGGTCCCGTGTCTTCCCTTCCGAGATCTTCCGGGGTTCTCTAGCGCTCTCTGATCCAGTCGCTTAGGCTTTCCTGCAGGGGAGGTCCTCTTCCCCTGTGGACGCCCAGCTGCGTCTGCTCGGAGTCTGGCTGGATCTGTTTGGCACAGTCATTGAACTGAAATGTCTATAGCTGTGCATGGTTACTTCTGGGCCTTCTGCTTTCTGGTTTGTTCCTACGGCTCTGAGGCCAGAGAGTGTGAATCTCCAGAGAGATTGCCGTGGTCACTGAAGGCCTTGGTGTTTCTACAGGAGCTTTAGGATTGCCTAGGACGGCCTAGACGTATTCCAGTTCTTACGGATGAGGGGAGGAGAGGGTTACAGTGGCTCAAGAGCTGTGTGCACATGTCCATAGAAAATGAGTCTTGTCGAAACCAACTCGGAGAAATGGAAACGGGTTTTATTGTACTGTTTGCAGTTATTTCTTTTTTCTTTTTTGTCCTTTGGTTTATTCTCTGTGGTCACTTTTTAAAAATTTCTGTACCCTTTGTTTTGTGTATAAGCTCATCTGATTTGGGGAAGGGAAGAGGAATCACAGAAACGGTGGGTAAACCAATTCAACAGTGATACTCACTAGACTATGTTGTAAATGAACGTTACAAGTTGGTGGGGAGGGAGCAGGGAGGGGGAAAAGTGGAAGAAAATGAGGGTTCAAAAAGAAATCCGCTCATTTCCTGACTTATGTGACTGTAACCCTCTGCACACCACCTTCCCAGTAAAATTTAAAAGTTTTTGTGAAAGTGACATTGGAATCTTGGTGGGGATTTTATTGACTCTGTAGGTTGCTTATGCCAATATAATAATTTTCACAATGTTATTTATACCCATGAACATGAGAGATTTTTCTACCTTATGGTTTCTTACATTTTTTTTCTTCAGGGTTTATCTTTTTTTTTTTTTTTTTTACAGCACTGGTATTTAAACTGCAAGTGAACCAGTATAAAAAAACGAAGTCTCATAGGTGCATGACAAAAACAAACGAACACCCAAAAGTCTGGCCCTGGCTTAAAATCAACGTGTTAACCCTTGCCTACAGGGCACTGACTTACAACAAGCCTCCTTTGTCCTCCTCGTAGAAGGCATATGGCTGGTGTCTTGGTGGAAGAGGCCTGTGCATGTTTAGTCTGTGCTTGCAATAAATGCCTCAGCTGGTTAGCTGCGTGTGTCAGCCCAGCTACTAGGAGGCTGAGGTCTGAGGATCGCTGCTCAAAGCCAGTCTGGGCAAGAAAATTTGTGAGACTCTTGTCTCCAGTTAACTGTCAAAAAAAAAGCCAGAAGTAGAGCTGTGGCTCAAGTAATAAAATGCTAGCCTTGAGCAGAATGAAGCTCAAGGATAGTGCTTAGGCCTTGAGGTTAAGCCCCAGGACCAGCACCAATAAACAAACCAACAAAGAAATAAATAGCAAATAAATACTTTCCCAAGAAATGGCCTCTGGCTGCCTGAGGTTTTTGTTTTTGTTTGTTTGTTTTTGGGTCCGTAGTGGGGTCTGAACTCTGGGCCTGGGCGCTGTCCCTCAGCTCTTCAGCTCAAGGCTAGCGCTCTACCACTTGAGCCACAGTGCCACTTCTGGCTTTTTTCTTTCTGCTTACGTGGTGCTGAGGAATCGAACCCAGGGCCTCAGGCATGCAAGGCAAGTGCTCTACCACTGAGCCACCTTCCCAGCCCCTGTTTTTGTTTTTGTTTTGCCAGAACCATTGGCAAAAATGGTTTGGTATGACACATTGGCTTAACTGGCAGGATTTGTTGGTAAATATGGCCGGTTCCCTGGCAGATCTCAGGCCTCACCTTGCCAGGTAGAGCGTCCCCAGTCCCACCTAGGCCCTCCTCCAGGTTTCTGAGTTTTCCTTGCATGGTGTTTTTGGCCTTTCCGTTGGGTACTTAATCAAGGCTTTCAGGAAGGAGTTGCTCTCCTAGTCCCTCCTCTTTCTGTTTCTCAGAGCTCTATGCCGCCTAGGCTGGCTCACACCTGTGATCTTTCTAGCTCAGCCTTCCGTGTCCAGGGAGTACAGGCATGTGCCACCATGCCCTGCTAAACTTTGATCTCGTAGCCCTTTGGCCACTGTCTGTCTCCTGGCACACTTCCGATGGAGACCCATACCAGAGCCCCACAGGAGTGACCACACTCCACTCACACCTTGGCCTGTTGGTGAGACTTAGATTCAGACACAGCCCACAGGAATGAGGGTGAACAGATCTCTGGCAATTATGTGTTTACATTTCCTTAGATACCTAAGAATATGACACGTGGGTGTGTACTTGTGACGTATGTGCTATGTGTGGGTATCCTGTGACCTAGAGGGGCTCACCTCTGGATGCATGCCTCAGGTGTTGAGCCCCGATTCCACTGGAGAAACCATGACTTTCTTTCTGCCCACCTGAAACCTGGGGGCTGGCCTGGGGATGACATGGGACTGACATGGGGTCTGGCGCCGGTGACCCTCCTGCAGACCGGCTCCCCATGTGACCAGCACTGCCTGCCCAGCCTCTCCAGAGGCCCTCAGCAGTGTGCCGGGTCAGGAAAAATATCAAGATTTCATTCTGGAGTGTGGTGCTGTGGCACACGTGGGAAAGCAGGTTTTCCTTGGTGCTTTTCAAAGCTAATGGTCCCCTGAGCTTCAGGCTCTGGAGCAACGCACCAACTGAAGAGAGATGCCCAATCCCTGCTGATGTAGCCATCTGTTCATTCACAAAGACAGCCCTCACGTGGGTCTGTGTTTATCCATAAAGATTCTCTGCACCATGTGATAAAATATTTACTTCTGTCAAGGAAGTATCTCCCAAACATTGCATCTGAGGCCATTAAATATTAAAACTAGTTTTTTTCTGGTCACACAGTAGTCATAAATACCAACACTGTGACACAAGTTGTTTTTCTTGCTGGATTTATTTCACTTTATCAAGACCACTCGGTTCACTCCAACCTACTTTGCATGCCTGAGAACTGAGTATGGAGGTTTGGGGTGTTAGTTGCCCCTGAAGTCCATGTCCTCTGCAGGAGCTCCCAGGCTGCCCTGGCCAGCAGTATCTACCTGCCTCCTGTCTCCCCACGCTGTGCCCATACCCCTCGCCAGCAGGAACACAGAGACAGAGATGTCCCCACCCTGCACACCGGCCAGCTGTGACGGGGATCTGCTGGCTTTCACCCGGCTGTGTCCTCTCCAAGATGCTGACCCTCTCTGTCCTCTTCTAGATGCTGACCCTCTCTGTCCTCTCTTTTAGATGCTGACCCTCTCTGTCCTCTCTTCTAGATGCTGTCCCTCTCTGTCCTCTTCTAGATGCTGACCCTCTCTGTCCTCTCTTCTAGATGCTGTCCCTCTCTGTCCTCTTCTAGATGCTGACCCTCTCTGTCCTCTCTTCTAGATGCTGTCCCTCTCTGTCCTCTCTTCTAGATGCTGACCCTCTCTGTCCTCTCCTAGATGCTGTCCCTCTCTGTCCTCTCTTCTAGATGCTGACCCTCTCTGTCCTCTCTTCTAGATGCTGACCCTCTCTGTCCTCTTCTAGATCCTGACCCTCTCTGTCCTCTTCTAGATCCTGACCCTCTCTGTCCTCTTCTAGATCCTGACCCTCTCTGTCCTCTTCTAGATGCTGACCCTCTCTGTCCTCTTCTAGATGCTGACCCTCTCTGTCCTCGTCTAGATGCTGTCCCTCTCTGTCCTCTCTTCTAGATGCTGTCCCTCTCTGTTCTTTCTTCTGGATGTCACCTGTACCCACAGCAGAATGTCCTTGTCACCCGGCCAGTCCCCCTAAGCCACATTGGGCTCCACATTGGGGCTCCAGGTCTAGTGGAAGAAAGTTGCCCACCAATGTCTCGCTACCCACTTCCCTCCGAGGCCACAGGATATCCTGTGGACCAGTTCTGTGGTGGTGTCTGGACCCCACAGGTGGAGACCCAGTGGCACAGACCCCCACTTCTGCCAGTCCCAAGGAGCCCACACTTCGCACCCTTGTGCACAGTCTGACCCTGCTCCAGGCTAGAAACTTGCTGGAAGAGCTCAAAGAACTCAGGGAAACGTTACAATGTCACAAGCCTATCATAAGCACTGCAAGGAAGCTGCTACACCAACAGCCAGATGAAGAGGCAGACAGTAAAGGGGTGAGCACCTTCCCACATCTGTCTCCCGGTTACCTTCGGCTCAAAACAGTCCTCATGACAAAGCATGAATTTTGATCATCCGTGTCAGTCTGCCTGTCAGCCTACCTTCTTGTCTGTCTGTACATCTGCCTGCTTATGTTGCTGGTTGGTTTGTTTATATTTGTCTTATTCTGCCTG